ACAAAAATTAAGACTAAATGTAAAAACAAGAAAGGAAATGGAGAAATGGTTAGGTAGGAGAAAAAAGATTAAGTTCAGCAAAAGTGACCGAATTGCAGCTGTGGCTACCAGGCAATCCTCATCATGGATTTCCATTGCCTCTCCTCCTTAGGCACCAGAGTGTGGTGCACAAACTACCCACGTGGTCAAGATTTGTGGTTCCTATTCTGCACAGACACAACAATTTGCCTCTATTAGAAGTTTAGAGAAACCTACAAGACAGGGTTTAGAAAAATACTATGAACACTCTTAAACTGCTGCTGAGCCAGCTATTTCTTAATGCTGCAGTTCACATCTGAGGCTAAGAGGAAAGAGTTCAAAAAGGAAAATCAAAGTGCCACCTTCCTACAAACAGTTAAAAAGGGCTATGCTATGCTTGTGGGTGAAGTTACTTGGTAGAATGTTTTATTACCTTTCTTTAGCCACCACAGAAAAGTGATACTCAAATTTAATCCAGCTCCTTTTTCATCTTTTAGGTACAATAAAATATAAGCTCTTCTAGGATCATGAATAATCAGAAATGTAGATGATTTTACCCAATAGAACCATTCTAAATATTGTCATAAAAAAATAAAGAAAGAAACAAAGAACAAAGAAAAGCCCCTAAGCTATCATCCCTAACAGATAGCCTTGTTGCTGTTCCTGCCAACTTCAGGGAGAAGAAATATTTCCATTCTGCTCCAATTCTCAGCAGAAGTAAATAAGGAAGTAATGTGCTGATTTCCATTCTCATGGCTCAGTATTAAGTTGGCTGAGGAAACTGCTGTTTGCAGAAATAGTCCTGGGATAACACAAAGTGGGGAAAAACACTGATGCCCAGATGGTATTGGTTTCAAGTATACTGGGATATTAATGCTTTATTCTCCATAATTAAATGTGGTCTAGGTTGTATTTACAGCTCATCTACTCTTCTCTGCCTGCACTATTACACTTGGAAAATGGAGAAGATCCCCCATGCCGGGCACACAAATGGTCAAAGTGGCATTCCGAATTGGCAAGGGGGAGAAAAAGCAAATGAAGAGCAGATTGTTACTATTCCCCTATTCTTTGCAAAGAACAAACATAAAACTGTTCTGCTTATACTCAAACATTATGATAGAGATCTGAACCATAAAAAGGTTAGTAATACTCCAACAGAAATCACCATTTTGAGGATCATTTTCTGAAAAGATCCTAATTAAAATAGTCCTTACGCTCCCAGTCATATCTTGGAGCCATCACACACTTCATATCTGGCATTTGGGCACTCAGCTCAAACTTCAACATATTTTCTGGCGCACTGAAAAACACCTTCTTCTGTATTTACTGGAGCTTTGTTTTAAATTCAGGATTATTTCCTATAACTGTGACTTATACACTTTTGCCATAAGCATTTGCTGAAGCTACTAGATGCAAATGACAAAGATACCTACTGGATGTAGGATGTAATGGGCCTATATTTACGATCTCCTTACCCACTTTTTTTTTCTCTGTAGTCTAAAAAATTAAACTCAGTATAACTAAAACAGAACTTCTCATTCTCACCCTCAGACCTATTTGTCAAGTATATACATATCTTGGATGATAGCCAACACAATATAATTCTTTCAGTTTTGCAAGATCCAAGTTACAAGACCATCATGGCTTCTTGTTTAGTAGCATGGACTGAAGTGCCTGATCCGATCCCTGCACGAAGCCATGGGATTGTGAGGCCTTAGTTTTCACATCTACTGAATAAGGTAATTAACAGTAATGACCTCATAGGGTAGTTATGAGCATTAGATGAACTAATGTGGGTATATTATAAATACATGCTATTGTTATTATTATTCCACTTCCTAGATGTTTTTCAATTAAATCATACTGTGTCCCCACCCTAGGTCACAGTCCTTTTACCTTACCTGGGCACCATACTATTCTTCTAATTTCTAAATGGGTCTCATTAACTCCAACTATACCCCAAACACTGCTCTTCTCAGAACTAGTCCAGAACTAATCCAAGAAAGTCATTATGATTTAAAAATCTATTGATTTTCCACTGCCCAAGAGATAAGCTTCAAATTTTGGTCAGGTATTCATAACTTTCAGGAAGATTCAGGTGCCAGAACAGAAATAGCCGGAGGAAGCCCAGTAGTATCTGTGTGCGGAATAATTGCTTGCTGAAGGAATGAATGGATCTAGAAGTTTGATCTTCAGTTACGCCTCTGTCACCAATTAGCTATGATCTATAGTGCTCTGTTTCCTCATCTGGAGGCTGATTATCATTATCATTTCCTTCTTTGCTTAATTTGATAATCTTCCCAGCTTCCTGTCATGGCTCAAAGCCTTAACTACACTTGTTTCACTCTAATCTCTCCAAATAACTTTTTACTTTAAAGTTCTGGTTCTAGTTGTCCCTTTTGCTTGAAACTCCCCGCTCCTCCCCACCAATATCTTCCTGTGGAAATTCCACCCTCTCTATAGTATCCAACTCGAATTTCACCTTATTCAAGAAGTCCTCTCAACCTTTATCCTCTTCATTTTGGATGAATTTCTTTTGCTCTGTCAGTCGCCTAGCACACTGAGAGTACTCAATTGTAAGACTTATCAGTTTCCCTCTTCTATCAGTTATCTATTTGTCCAAAAGACTATAAGCTTAGAGATCACAGTCTAAAAACTTTCTCAGTCTTTGGCATAGGACTGGATTCAACAATTTGAATTCAGATCCTCATCAACCTGGCCGTTAGAAAGGTACTTGCTACAAACTTCTTGCTGACTTTCCAGAGTCTCAGTCTCTGGAAAGTGTAATGGAGATTTTTCATGATATGGAAATAGAGTTTTTAAAATTTTAGTGGGGAAAACCCTCTAGGGTGAATTTGATCTGTAACTGGTCTTCTCAAATTGCAATTTTTGAGAACTTATATCAAATTAATCTGTGGTGCTTGTTAAAGATGAATATTTCTCGGCCCCACACAGACTTACTGAATTGGCACCTCTAAGGGCAAGGCCTGAGCATCTGCTTTTTAATGTGCATATAGTTTTAATGACTTACAAATCGAGCCCATATTTCCTTTGATTGTCATAACAACATTGCAATCCAGTGATTCTCGAAGTGTGGTATCGGGGCCTCTGGGGTCCCTGGGACTTTTTCAAAATGATTTTCATAATAATAATAGGATCTTATTTGCCTTTACATTCTCATTCTCACACAATATAGTGCAATTTTCCAGATGCTACATGATGAGTGCTATCACCAGAGAATGAATGCAGGAGATATGAGAATCTAGCTATCTTCTATTAATCCAGATATTAAAAAGACTTGTAAAAACATGTTATTCTTTTTTTTTTTTTTGAGAGGGAGAGGAGGGTGGGGAGGGAAAGAGAGAAAGAAAGAGTCGGGGAGAGGTCGGGGAAGGGCAGAGGGAGATGGAGAGAATCTTAAGCACACTCCACACCCAGTGCGGAGACCGATGTGGGGCTCGATTCATGACCCTGAGATCATGACCTGAGCCGAAATCAAGAGTCAGACTCTTAACTGACTGTGCCACCCAGGCACCCCAAACAATGCCGTTCTTAAGTTTTTTGTTTTGGAAAACATTCTTCATAGAAATGCTACTTATGTTAACACATAATGAATTTATTATCTTAAATAAATTTTTGAAAGTTGTTTTGATACCTAAAATGGTAAAATGGTAAACATTGATAGATATAAGTCACACACACAAACTCCTTGGTGTTTTCAGTAAGTTTTACAAGTGTAATGGGATCCTGAGATCAAAATGTTTGAAAACTGCTGCTATAATTATTATCAGCAGCATTTTAAATGTAAGAGTAAGACACGGTTAAGTGATTTACCAGAGATTCCACAATTAAACCACAAATTCTATGCAATTTCCATCACCACAGAAAACCAGAGGAAATTACCTATTTTATACTTATACAGATTTTTTTGTTTTTGTTTTTAGAATAGGCATTTTTAACAAGCTACCAGGTGACAGTGATGCCCTTAAGTATGGAGAACCACTATGAAAAGCAAAGGAAACTATCTGAAGTTTTAGGAAGTGACAATTATTACATATGGACACTGAGATGATAATTCTGAAGGCAACAGATGGATTTGGAAGACCTCGGTTCTTAAAAGACCAAATCCCTTCACCTCTCTGGGACTTAGTTTTTCACATCTGTACAATGAAGCTGTCTGTAATGCCTCTTTCTGGCTTTCAGCCTGGGTTTCATGCATTTTCACTGCTAAAAGACAATTGAAGAGATGCCTCTTTCTAATGAAGGTCAGTCTTAAAGTCATAAATCAGAGCACATCACTCTTCAGCATAGAAACCTTCAATGGTTTCCATTGCTCTCCAAATAAAAGTCCAACTCCTTGTCCTGACTCATAGACACTACAAGATTTGGCCCATTTAAGCCTCTGGCCTCATCTTCCTTCCTCTTTTTGCACCAGTAACAGTGGCCTTTTTTTTTTTCCTTGACCTTGCTAAGTTTACCACTATAAGGCCTTTGCACTTGCTATTCCTGCCCCCTCGAATGCTCTCCTCAAGATCTTCATAAGGATTACTCCCTCACTTTGTTCACTTACATTATGCTGCTTAATTTTCTTTAAAGTACTCACAACCATCTCCCCCCCACCCCCATTTCAGATAACAGTGTTTGCTTGCTGACTTGTTTACAGTCGGCCTCGCCCCAGAATGTCAACTACTTGGGAGCAGGGCCAGTGTCGGCTTGTAACCGGTGTGTCCCAGGCCCCCAGGGTAGTGCCTGGCAGGTAGCTGATGCTCAGGAAACGGACGACGGCTGAACTGCAGCTCAGCCCTGGCCTTCAAAAAGGACCGGGGATATCCCAGCTCCCTTGATGTCGGAACCCGACCCATCGGCTCAAACACACGTCTCAGCAGCCCCAGTACCTTTCCGCACGACCCCGACAGACCCTCACTTACCAGACTGACAGCTCAGCTTGTTCTGGCCCGAGCGGAAGCTTGACCCGGAAGTGCTCTCGGGCAGGCGGGACCGCCTCGCACTGAAGGAGTACTTCCGGGGCAGTAGGAGTGGTTCCTCGGCGGCTCTGGCGGCGGTGAGGTTGGCGGTGGCGGTGGCCTGGGTGCGGGGCTTCCAGGGAGGAGGCCAGCGGGGTGCGGGGGCTCGGGACTCGGGGCCGGACCCTCCAGGTGGCTGGGGAGTGGGAGGAGGTGGTCTGGGGCTGGGCTGCCGACACCTCCCGGCTGGACGCGCAGGCTGTAAAGCGCTTTGGTTATTGAAGCTCTACGTTTGTGTGAGGAACTCTCCTTGTCAGCGTCGGAGAAGTTGGGGGCGCTTGTTGACCTCAGATGTCCCGTTTGGGACTGGTCTTGTATGCGGGAAGAAGTGAGAGCGCCTGTTTGTCCGTCTAGAGACAGCCAATGTCAATAACAACAGTAATGACACAAACCATCTCCTCCGTCCTAATAGCAACTGTTACCTATGCGAGGCTATGTGCCAGTCTCTGTTCCAAGCCCCTCGCGTACCTCATGTGGTGGAATCCTTGTAGGAATCCTGCCCGGCAGGTGTTCTAGCCCCGTGTTACACTTGAGGAAGCGGAGAAGCAGCTAGGTGAACCGACTTCCTCGCAGTTACCGCCCTCAGGAAAGTTGGAAGAAAATCGAATTCCGGAGCCCGTGCTCTTAGCTGCTAAACTAAACCCCTTCCATTTTGGTAACTGTGTGGCTGGAAGTTCCCAAGGAAAATGGGGGGAGGTATATGTGTACATAAAAATGTGTGCATTTTTATTTTTAAGAAAGGACTCAGCCATTTAATTTTACTTGTAATGTTTCAGTTCTTGGAGTGTTTCCACTCCAATTATGAAAATAACCTACACTCACTACCAGGATACTTGGAAAACTTACAAAAACATTAAATAGTGCGATTCCGTATACCTGAAATTTCTTTCTTTCTTTCTTTTTTTTTTTTTTGCTTTTCCTGGTAAAGTATGAATCCATTGAGAACAGGGATAGCACAGCCATTATAACGATGAAAGTGATGGTAATGAGAATATGAACAGCCACCACCTTTCCACCTAGCCAAATGTCTAGCACATTCTAGATGCTCATTAAATCTTTGTTGCACAAATGAAAGAGTAGACCCAGTGTTTAATATTTTGAAATATGTCCTTCCAGCCTTTTATAAAATTATATGAATTACTTATGTAATATGTATATTATATATTATATAGTAGTTGCCCCTCATCTGCAGGTGATATGTTCCAAGATGAGAGATGATAAAGTGCCTGTGTGGTGAGATGAGATGAGGTGAGGTGAATGATGTAGGCACTGTGCTGTAGCATTAGGCTACTGTTGACCTTTTGACAACACCTCAGAAAGAGAATCATTTGCTTCGAGACTGTGGTTGGCCACAGGTAACTGAAACCTCAGATAAAGGGGACTGCTGTATATGGTATACTACTTATAAAATATATATTATTATGTGTTGTAATTTGGAAAGAGCATATAGAGAAAGTGAAATGATAGTGTAAAAAAAGTACATATTTATTTAGCCAAACAACATTGATTGAACTTTATGCAAGAACTGTGTAGTCTTTCCTATTAGGTTCTTGGAGTAAATGGGGCAGAAATTGTGTCATAAATAAATTCTCGGTCTCCAAAACTTGGTACATAGTAGGTATTCAAAAAAAGTTTGCAAATGAATGAATATTTCAGAGTTGGTTTGCATGTATGTGGGTAGTTGCATCTGAATTTTTTTTCTGTGTGTTTTGGGAATGTATAATGTATGTATATCATATATCCATATGTCTAGGCTCCATGGTGTTGTGTAAATCTACCTTTCTAGCCTTATGCCTTTTTGTTATTCTCCCTGCTATATTAACTACTGTTATTTTTCGATATTCCATGTCTGTCCATTCCATTCACACTTCCCATGTTTTGTTTCCACACCTTTGAATTTTCTCATTGGCACCTTCACCTGTCAAAATCCCAAGTGCCCTTTAAGACAGGTGTTGCAAGCTCAGATGTATACAGGGGCTAATAAGGTAACAAATGAGTCAAGTAGATTTAGGTGGAGATTATAGAGAACTAGAGAACATTATCCTGCCTAAAAAGACCCAGCAACTCTGGTTTGAGCTAATTATTACCATGTTAAAAGCGGGCCCAGTGTCACCAGATATTTCAACTTTACTAGAGAAGTTGAAAATCTGTATTCATGTATGAAGTCTGATTTTTAAATGTTAGCAATTAATATAAAAGTTTAAACACTGTGCAGGCCAAATAACATTTAAAGGCTGGATTTAGCAGTCACATTCTCAGTTTGTGGCCACTGTTCTATGTTTATTTCAGATACTTTGTGCATGAATCATATTCTCTGATCCCAGCAGAGTTTTTCTTCTCTGTTCTTTTAGCATTTTATATATACCTCACCTATAGTGCTGTTTCCAAGGTGCCTTAGGTCTTTTTTTTTTTTGAGAGGGAGGGGGAGAGGGAGAGGCAGGGGTAGAGGCAGAGGCAGGGGGTAAGAGTGGGAGAGAGACTCCTAAGCAGACTCCACACCCAGCATGGAGTCTGATGCGGGGCTTGCTCTCACAGCCCTGAGATCATGACCTGGGTGGACATCAAGAGTCAGATGCTTAACTGACTGAGCTACCCTGGTGCACCTGCCAAGCTGCCTTAGTTCTTAATATGACTTTCTCTTGTACATTGGAAGCATTTGATGGCTTGAATTGGGTCTAATTCTGCACTTGGTAAATATTGGTATAAAATAAATGCTTATATATACCTAAGGCTTTGGTATATATACATTTATTTATCCTCTGGTTATCTTTATTTCTCCTCTACTTGGTTATCTTGGAAACCAGCATCTGCCTCTTGTAAAAACACCAGTGGTATCTTGGCTTTAATTGCTAAAGAGCTGTACTTATGGTAGGGACTGAATTGGTTAACATTGCTGCTCAAAAGCTAGTTTGATTTAGATTCTATCTGATGGCTTAAATTTTATAATTCATAAATTGAGGTAGAAATAATGACTAAGATTTTTTAATGACAGTCAATAAAAGGAAAAATTAATAAATTGGACCTCATTGAAATGAAAAACTTTTGCTCTGTGAAAGACCCTGTGAAGACGATGAAAAGATAAGCTACAGGCTGGGATAAAATATTTGCAAACCACATATCTGACAAAGGACTTGAATCTAGAGTATATAAAGAACTCTCAAAGCAGTAATAAAACAAAAGAAAAAAACAAAACCCCCAAAGAAAATGAGCAAAAGATACAAATAGGTATTTCACTAAAGGGGATATACAGATGGCAAATAAGCACAGGAGAAGATGTTCTATATGATTAGCCATTATAAAAATACAGCTTAAAGCCACAGTGAGATTATTATTACACACCTGTCAGAATGGCTCAAAAAAGGGAAAAAAAAAAACCCACCAAATGCAGGTGAGAATGCTGAGAAACTTGATCACTCATACATCACTGATGGTAATGTAAATGTAAAGAGTGGCAGTTCTTATAACACTGAACAAGTACTTAACATGATCCAGCAGTTGCACTCTTGGTCACTTATTTCAGAGAAATGAAAGCTTATATTCCACAAAAACCTGTATGTTAATGTTCGTAGCCATTTTATTTGTAATAGCCCCAAACTGGGAACAGCCCAGATATCCTTCAATGGGTAAATGGTAAAACAAACTGAAATACATTCATACACAAGGAATACTGCTCAGCAAAAAAGGGAAGAAACTATAGGTAAAACAACTTGGATGGATGGATCTTGAGGGACTTATGCTGAGTGAAAACAGTTGATCTCAAAAGGTTACATACTGTATGAATCTGTTTATATGACATCTTTTATAGAGATGGAGAACAGATTAGAGGTTGCTGTGGGTTGGTGGTGGGCGGGGGGCGGTGAGGGGATGTGGCTGAAAAAGGACAACACAAGGGATCCTTGTGATTGAACTGTTCTGTATCCTTAGTGTGGTGATGGTCACACAAATCTATACGTATGATAAAATTTCACGAACTAAGTAACCATACATAAGTGCCTATAAAACTGATGAAGTCTGAAGATGGTCAGTGGGTTGTATCAATTTCCTGGTTGTCATATTCCACTGTGGTTACATAAGTTGTTGCCATTGGAGGAAACCGGGTGGAAGATACACAGAACTGTCTGTATTTCTTACACCTGCATGTGACTCTATGATAATCTCAAAATAAATAGCTTAAATAACTTACAGCAAAAAAGCCTATAAGATTAATTTTTTCTTTGACTTTTTTTTCACCAGGCAATGATCTAATCATGTCAGAGAAAGATGGTATTGAGACTCCAGTGATAACTGAAGCATCCTCCACTCTTGAAGATGGGAACCGTGAACCAGCCAAGAATTCTGAGTCTGTTGACCAAAGTGCCAAGCCAGAGAGTAAATCCAAACCTGTAGCTATCACTCGGAAAAGACCGGAGTCCAAATCTTCCAGTGACCTCGAGACTTCAGAAGTTCTCCCTGTTGAGGCATCACAGGCTGTAGGCAAAGTAGAGTATCTATTAAAACACTGGGATTAAAAGTTAGGGTTAAAAGGAATTTGGAACCAAAACCAGTTTAAGATTGTATCTATTTCTTTTCTTTAAAAGCCATAAAACACAATTTTCTTAGTTTTATAAATGACTTTATGAGTAGTTGCCTTTGCTACATGGTGCTTAAATGCGGGTGACATAACATTTGTCAGGCAAGCAACACAATTCTTTAGCTTAATGATAGGTATTTCTTCACCTGTACTTTGGACTAATAATTAGATACCTTGTCCATACACTCTCTTATTCTCTACTTTTTCCCTTTTCTTTTGCCTTTTGTTTTTCTGCCTACTGGGAAGAATAGGAGACTGTTTCCAAAGATGTACCTCAGACTGGTTGGGGATATTGGGGCAGCTGGGGCAAGTCCTTACTCTCTTCAGCCTCAGCTACAGTAGCTACAGTAGGTAAGATCATCATTTTGCTAATTTTTGTGTGTATGTTGCTACAGATCTGTGTTAAAAATGACTTTGTTAATAATTCTTATTCTATGTTTACTTAAGGGCTTTATAGTTTGAGAATTCATTAGGAATGATGGGCTGATTTATAGTATAGCTAGAGTTTACAGCATCTTCTCATTAGCATTTCTTATTAGAGTTTCTCATTTTCTCATTAACCAGAAATTGTTAATATAAAACTATTGTGTGGTGGTAAATCAAGTTTGTTGGTTTTGTTGGTTTTGTTTTTTGGTAAGTTTACACTTCCAAACATTAGTTATGTATGGTCAGAATAAAATGTCTGTGACCATAGTGATTTTAAAAATCTGCAGGATTGTTTTGGTTTGTTTCTTCAGTTTTGGTGATTAATAGTAAGTAATATTCAAATGTAAAAATGTTACCATTTTCCTCATTAGGACAAGGTATTTCAAATGTCATTGAGAAGGCAGAGACTTCTCTTGGAATTCCTAGTCCCAGTGAAATTTCAACCGAAGTCCAGTATGCAACAGGTCAGTATGTGGAAACATTAAGACCTAGAATTATGGGTTAAAATGGAACAGTTGAGCTCATTTTTCAGTATATATTTATTGAGTGTCTGATATTCAGGACATCATGGAATTGGTGAGAAAGGGGTTTGGAATCTTTGACTAACAGAGGTCTGTGTCCTTTAGCCACTTTAGTCATCTATGAAATGGGATGATCTGTGTCAAAGGACTGTTAAAAACATTAAATAAAGCCATGAATGTAGAATATAAGAATTGCCTAGCATTGTGTTTGGCACAAATGAGTAAGAGCCTAAGAAGAATTAGCTGAATTTGACTCTGTTGTGACACAAAAAAATATTTTAACGTGTTTAGTTTTAAGGGTTTAATTTTTTGTGTTTGGATTTTTATGAGGGTGAAATTTAATTTTGGATACCTGCTTTGATCAGTGTACTCTCACTTAAGCTACAAAAGACAGAATTATAACCAGGGATCAAGATGGCCTGGGACCAGAAAATAGGAAGTTTTCGGGCCCTGATTTTGCTTTCTCCATCTCTCAGGGGCTTTATTGTCTCCCACTCTTGTTTCTCTTTGATCGTCTCATTTTTTTTCTCCAATAAGCATAATTTTCTAGGATAAAATTTAAAATAGGCCATATTTTAAAAAGTCAGATTTATTGATTTTATAATTTATATGTGTAATTAATTATAAATTATATGTAAATGCATTATTTACATATAGTAAAGGTTACTCTTTTAAGGTATACAGTTTATGTGTTTCAACGAACATATAATCCTGTTTACACAGTATAATCACAGTCCATTGTGATTATACAGTATGGAATATTTCCTGTATATGTATAGATAATCAAAATGTAAGAATATTTTCATCACCCCCTAAAAGACTCCTCTTGCCCCTTTGTGGTCACACCCATCAGTTACTCTCAGTTTTTGGCAACTGCTAATCTATTTTCCGCCTAAAGTTTGACTTTGTCCAGAAGATGGTATGCATAGAATCATACAGTGTAAAATGTATTGTTACATATACCAGTAGTTCAAATGACTGGATTTTATTTTTGAAATGAAATGAAAATGAAAAAAGCTATGTTTTCATTTTAAAATAGGTAAATAGTTTAAAATAATAAAACAAAAAGGGCTAAAGCTACCCTGTGTATAGGAAGCAGGGTCTAATTTTTAAAATTTCACATAGATGCTGATAAAGAAAACTATTTATGGATCATCCCTTCATGTTTACACATCCCCTTCCTCCTGTAGGAGAGACAAATGCCAAAGAGAATGCAAACTCTTCCCCATTGACTGGGCCATTTGGTGTATTCTCAACCATCTCTACTGCTGTTCAGACCACAGTGAGTAAAATGCATGGTAGACTGTATCCCTCTGTGAATATAGTGGTTTTTTTTTTTTTTTTTTTTAATCTCTTTCTCCCTCCTTTTCTTGAAAAGCCACGAGGACTGATTACTGTTATGGGAGTCCACAAATTGCTGAAGATCAATCACTTTGATCTTAGGGGTAGAGTGGGAGCTACTTGAAAACTTTCTTTAAAGAAGTAGAGAGCAGAAGATGAAGAGTAACAGAGAGGCAATGTACATAATATTTAATGGACTATGAATTCTGAGTTTGGTGGCCCTAGAAAATGTCCCTCCTTTACGAAAATATTTTTCTCATAACTATAGATGATTAGAAACATTTTTAAAAGGATTTTATAGGAAACTTAATATCTTTCTTTATGAAGATAGATAACTAGTACTTTTTAATTTTAATTTCTTGAAGTAAAACATTATATACAGAAAAGTGAAATCATAAGAATTCAGTTGGAATTTTTACAACATGAACACACTCAGCCTAAGAAACCAACGTGATGGTATATCATAGGTTTTCTACCTGTACCCTCTCCCAGCCATCTGTGCTTCTTCCTTTTGCCCACCAAGATAACCACAATTCTGACTTCTACCATCATAGATTAATTTTGCCTACTTTTAAACTTGACACAGATGGAATCATACAGTATGTACCCTATTGCATTTGGCTTCTTTCACTCAACATTATATTTGTATTATTTCTCCATCATGTAGTCGGTATGGTGTATTCCATTTTCTTTGCTGTATTCCATTATGTGACTATGTAGCATTTATTTATTCCATGGTTGGTGAGTACTGGGGTTGTTTCCGGTTTTTGGCTTTTACGAATAGTACTGCCATGAACATTTTGTATATCTTTTTTTTTTTTTTTTTT